TCAGGGTTTCTCCTCTATATAGCTTATTGTCATAGTGATGAGAAATGTAATATTGTGTCTACTCTGTAAGTCGCTTTGGATAAAAGCGTCTGCCAAATGCATAAACATTGTTAGAGGTGACACTTACAGACTGGGTCAACAGCCAGAGCAGCGTTGGACGCATCACTTGGTTTTCCCAGGCCGGCCTTGTTCAGAGCGATGACTCTGAACTCGTACTCTGAGCCTTCCGTCAGCTGGATAGCCTTGATGGTTCGGTCAATGACTGGCCGGCGGTTGACTTTGGCCCAGGTCAGCTCAGTGGCCTCGCGTTTTTCCATCATGTAGCCGAGGATAGGAGCCTTTCCGTCATTGGCAGGCGCCTTCCAGCTCACCGTCATGGAGTCTTTGGTGATGTTGGTAATGACTGGCGGTTCACACGGCCCAGGAACATCTGAGGGAGGAGGTGGGGGGGTCATGCTTATTTTGTGAAGATTTTTATCAACAGAGTGGCTGAACTCAATCACTGATGAGACAGCTTAGGTCTGAAAAACTCCTCTTTTAAAAACATCTGCCCACAAGGAACAGTGTCTTGCTACCAGTGTTGTTGCTTTCGTTGCTTGTTTGTTCTTTTGTCTTCCCTGTGCCCTTTTGCAGGAGCTCCTACAGGTTCTCCACTCGGATTGCCCACAAGGAACAGAGTCCTTTTTGCAGACATAACAGCTGGTCATGTGGTCTTGTTGTCTTTCTCTCTCCTTTTTTTATTTTTATTTTTTTCTCTCCCCCCTCTCTCTCTTTCTAAAGGATTTCTCTCCTTCCACTACCCTTCCCTCCCCCCTGTCCATCTGTCAGGTTCAGCATTATTGGACATATATGGAAGTTTGGTAACTAAATTAATTAATAAATAAAGACGTTTTAGGTAATAAAGGGGGGCTTCTCACTAACAAAGCCTCCCTTGGCAAAGCAATTTTGTTGAGCATAGCACGGTACTCAGATTTCAGTTCTGCTGCCATAAAGCTGAACAGGACAAGGTAGGAAAAAAAACAAAAAAACACTTTTTTCTCACCGTATGGGTTCTTGACTGTAACTCCATCTGTCATGATGGCGTCTCCCACTCCGTACTGGTTCTCAGCGCTGACTTTGAACTGGTACTCGTGGCCCTCGATGAGTTTCTCCACAGAGCAGTCGGTGACGTGTCCGTGGATGTTGGAGGAAACCAGGGCCCAGTTAGCTCTGCTGGTCTCGCGCTTCTCAATGATGTAGTTGGTGATTTCAGAGCCGCCGTCTGCGATGGGAGGCTCCCACCGCAGCTTAACGCGGTCGGCAAACACCTTAGAAATTTTCACCGAGGCCGGAGGGCCAGGTTTGTCTGCAGAGGGAACGGAACATGTTTAGTCAATTCATAGAATTGTCGTTCAAAGAATAAATTAAATCGTGTCCGGTCTGGCTTACCGAGGACCTTGACCTTGATGGTGGCATACTTGGAGCCACTGGTGTTTTCAGCTGTGATGGTGTAGTCTCCAGACTCCTTCCTTGTCACGGAGTATAGCTCCAGCATGTGGACATGCTTCTTCTGGCACATCTTCATCCCTTCTGCCAGAACCAGAGGTGCTCCATCTCTTTTCCAGCTCACTTTGGGGAGTGGCTTGCCCGACACCTCAGCATCCAGGACAATGTTTTCTCCTGCTTTCACCACAATCAGGTTCTTCATGTTGAGACCCAGTTCTACACGAGGAGGAACTGTATGGGAGAAACAGGTAGAAGCGTTATCATCTGTTAGCATTTGGATTTTTCTATCACAGCTTCCCGGGATGTGTGGAGTTTTACCGTTCTCTGCGATGACGGGGATGGGGTCGGACAGCTCGGATGGGGAGCTGATGTTGATGGCGCTCTTGGCGATGACCCTAAACTGGTACTGCCGGCCCTCCTCCAGGCCTTGCACCACATAGCTCTCCGTCTGGATGTTCATACAGTTCGCATTGCAGCGAACCCACTTCTCCTCCGGAAGCTTGCAGTACTCCATGTAGTAGCCAATCAGCTTGCTGCCACCATCATGTTGGGGACGGCTCCAGACCAGCGAGACTGAGCTCTTGGTCACATCCATTACCTCAGGTTTACCTGGTGGGTCTGGATGGACAGAATAAACAGGGCACAGGTTATGCTTTGAAAGCTCATGAACAAGTGGATTCATCTGAGGGGCGTCGTCCTACCGATGGCGGTCCTAGCGATGATGAAGTCGGTCTGTTTGCAGGGTTTCCCCTGTCCTGCCATGTTGTACGCCGACACCCTGAACGTGTACTCCAGGCCCTCCATCAGCGCGGTGCAGGTGTACTGGGTGGCTTTGACTGCAGTCTCATTAGCCGTCACCCACAGAAGGCTGTTCCTCTCCTTCTTTTCGATGCAGTAACCAGTGATGGGGCTGCCTCCGTCACTGCTGGGCCGCTCCCACGACAGGATGACAAAGTCCTTATTAATCCTGTTAATCTGCAGGTTTCTAGGCTCACTCGGGGGATCTTTGGGGGAGAGAAACACAACCAATGATGCAACATGCCAAAAATGTATCAATAGGTACTTCCTGAAAAGAAAAAGACTCACCAAATGGATATCTGGCAATCATCCTCTCAGAGTAGATGGGCTCAGAGACTCCAAACCTGTTCTCAGCACGGACCCTGAAGCTGTACTCTTTACCAGTAGTCAGTTTGGTAACTCTGAAGCTGGTTTTGGTGCAGGATGAGGACACTATGATCCAGTCACCCTGGCTGACGTCACACTTCTCCACAATGTAGTTTGTGATGTTGCTGCCACCATCTTCCTGAGGGGAGTTCCAGAGGAGTGTGCAGGCATCGATGTCCTGCTCTGTGATCTCCAGAGGAGCTTCTGGGGGTCCGGGGATGTCTAAATAAAAGGTACAAATGATTAAAAATGGCACGACGGCCACAGTGGAGGTATAAAGTTAACTGATGTTCTGTTTGTCATCAGTCATATGTCTGCTGTGGCCACTGACCCATGACGGTGACCCGGAGGATCTGGTTGACCTTGGAGGTACTGTTCTCGGCAGACAGACTGTAGTAACCGCTGTCCTTTCTGTTCACATTCTTTATTATCAGTGTGCAGGTTGTCAGAGTCTTAACGACCGACAGGCGGTCAGAGGTCAGCACGTCCTCGTTACCCTGCTTCCACTTGCAGAATGGAGCAGGTTTCCCGGCCACAATAGCCTCAACCACCATCTTGGATCCAGCCCTGACCGTCACAACGTCGGGCATCATTATCTTTGGAGCCACTGTGAGAAGGAGGAGACATTAAAAGTTATCTCGTTGTTCTAGACTTCATCTTTTCTGCCTTTGATCATGGAGGATATAAATTTTGGGCAAAGGGAGAGGGCGGGGGAGTGTCATCTGTGTAATTCTCGAGCCGGTGTACTCACTGAGCTGCTCCTTGACCTCAAACACCCCCTCAGCCTCTCTGGCCAAGCTGACTCCCACCGAGTTCCTGGCTGCCACTCTGAACTTGTACTTGGTTCCTTCCTTCAGACCGACCACCACAATGGTCAGGTCTTTGACCACGGAGTATGGGGTCCACTTGTCTTCAGGTGCACCCTCCTCCTGGTAATCCACCACATAGCCGTTTATCTTAGCTCCTCCATCTCTGAGTGGCTTGAGCCACCCCAAAGTGGCGCTGTTCTTAGTGATATCCAACACATCCATCTTCTTCGGAGGGTCTGGTTCACCTGCACACCACAGCAGTGGTTAGGGAAGAACAAACTAAACAGAGCCAGAGAATAACAGAGGGGCACGATCACACTCACTTATAGGATCCACAGCCAAGTAGGATCTGGGGGAGTCCTGAGGGACTCCGATGCCATATTTGTTGCAAGCCATGACCCGGAAGTAGTACTCCACTCCAGGCGTCATGGTGGTCACCTTGAAGCTCGTCTTTTTCAGTTCTTCAACGCATTTCGTCCATGTCTTCCTGTCAACCTCCCGTTTCTCCACAATGTAGTTGAGGATGGTGCTGCCGCCGTCGTTCTCGGGGGGCAGCCAGGAGAGCTGCGCCGTGGTTTTGGTGACATCAGTGGCGTCCAAACCGCCAACAGGCCCAGGTGTGTCTGTAGAGGGTCCAAGAATCAGTTCACATGTAACAATGAAAGCTTCAGAAAGATAACTCTGGCCTAAAGAGCCCCTCCGCCATGCTTACCCAGAACTTTGACACGGACAAACACAGCTTTCTCCCCGGCTGAGTTTGACAGAGTCAGTGAATACTTCCCAGAGTCCTCTCTGGTGCTCTCAGGGATCACCAAGAAGGACATGGTGTCAACCTGGTCCACGTGACCTCTGCGGATCACATTGTCCACACCCATGCGCTTCCAGGTAACCTTGGGGGCGGGTCTTCCTCTGATCACGGCGAACAGCCTGATTGGGCACCCGGCCCTCACAGCCAGGCCTTTCCTCAGACTGGCGTCCAGCTCGATCTCTGGAGCCTCTGTGCTCACAGAAACACAGAAAAGGAGGTGAGCGATGGCAACAACGATATCAAGCAACAGACTTCTCTTTTTATTATGAACGCTCACTCTTACCCAGGATTTCCTTGGGGGATACTGCCTCCCTCAAGTACGCGTGGCGTCCCCAGCCCACCTGGTTTTGGGCAGACACCTTGAAGTCGTACTCCAGCTTCTCATCCAGTTGGGGGATGGTGAACTCTGTGAGCACCAGTGGGCCGTGCGTATCGATCCTCTTCCAGCCCTCTGAGGGTTTCTCAGGGTCCGCCTCGCTCTTCAGCCTCAGGTCCAGGCTGTATCCGATGATGGGGGCTCCACCATCATACACAGGTTTGCACCAGGAGAGGGTGATGGAGGTCTTTGTGCTGTCTGCCACCTTCAGGTATGCAGGGGGGCCAGGTGCCTCTGCAAGTAGAAAAGGTGTTACTGACACAGCTAGAGCTTCTATGAGGACACAATGGGGCCTTTGAATGAACCAAATTCAACTTTTCAACGTCTTTCACGGATCGGAAAAAGAGCAAAACTCACCGATGGGATCTTTGGCTGCAACAGGTCTGCAGGGTTTGCTGGGCTCTCCAAGGCCAACCTCATTCTCAGCCTTCACCCTGAACTGGTACTCGTGGTTTGGAATCAGGTTGGTGACTTTCATGCGTCTCTCAGAAATGGGGCTCTTGTTGCATGGCACCCAGCGCACCGCCCTCTTCTCCTTCCTCTCCAGGATGTAGCCGGTGATGGACTTCCCTCCATCGTTCTCTGGAGGAGCCCAGACCACGGTCATCTCGTCTTTGCTCACCTGCATCACAGAAATCCCCTCCAGTGAGTGACAGCAGGAGAGACCGTGTGAGACACGGGGAAAAGCAATCATTTTTCCTCATACCTTGGTAATCTCGGGAGCCTCGGGGGGTCCAGGTTTGTTGAACTGAGTCTTCACTGTGACAGGTTTGCTCTCCATGGCGGGTCCAGTTCCCATCTTGTTCTCTGCCCTCACCCTGAAGATGTACTCATTGCTCTCCACCAGGCGTGTGACGTTGCAGTATGGAGTGACCACGGAGGCTGAGTACGTGGACCAAACCATCCTCCTGGTCTCACATTTCTCCAGGATGTAGCTGTCCACCTCGCAGCCGCCATCGTCCTCCGGGCCGTCCCACACCACTCTGCACTTGTCCGCCCCGATGCCGGTGATCCTCAGGTTCCTCACGGGCCCGGGGACATCCAGGACGTTGACGTTGGCGTAGGCTGTGAAGGTGCCTGCAGCGTTGGTGGCAGTGATGACGTACTTCCCTGTGTCCGTGCGCCTGGACTTGGTCAACAGGAACTTGGAGTAGTCTGAACCGGTTTCATAGCTCATTCTGGGGTTGTCTCCCACAGCCTTGTCTTTCACCCATTTGACCTCTGGCTGGGGCTTTCCTCTCAGGTTAGCCTCCATCCTGACAGACTCTCCAGCCTTCACTGTCAAAGTACCGGCCAACTTCAGGTCAATGACCGGCTTCTGGAGCTCTTCCTTCACCACAATATCAGCCAGCTTCACCCAGGCACTCTCTCCACCTTCATTCACGGTTTGCACCCTGGAATACAAACAAACATCCTGGTTAGATTAAGTAGAACTAAAAAAAAACATCATCTAAATAAGATACTGCCCGGCCGAGAGAGAAATAACGGCAAGAAGGTTGAAACCCACCTGAAAGTGTATGTCTGGTTTTCCACAAGCTTGTTAGCTAAGAAGAATGTGTCTTTTAGGGGGCCTAGCTTCTGCCACTCCTCAGCATCTTTGGTTTTGCATTCCAGGTTGTAGGTGAGATTGGGACTGCCGCCATCATAGTCAGGCTTCCTCCATTTCAGATGGACGTGGTTTTTACCGACGTCAGTGGCTCTGAAGTTCTCTGGCTCACCAGGCTTCTCAATAGGGTCAATGGCCAGCAAAGGCGTCTTGATCTCTGTAGCGGGTCCTGGGCCCATTTTGTTCTCAGCACAGACACGGAACAGGTACTCGTGGCCCTCCATCAGCTTGGCCTTGATCTTGCGATTGGTGCAGCAGGATGAGATCATGGACCACATGCTAACACTGGGCTCTCGGCATTCCACGATGTAATTGGTGATCTCAGAACCACCGTTGTCCTTTGGAGCCTCCCAGTTGAGCATGCAGGAGTCTTTGGTGGCGTAGGTAGTGTGTAGGTTCTGGCAGTGGCTGGGTCGGTCCAGCACGTTGACTGTGATGGTGCAGGACGCCTCACCACCCTCGTTTGAAGCCTTCAGCGTGTATTTTCCATGATCAGCCCTTGTGGCTTCCTTGACTTTCAAGTGGACCACGGGAAGGTTCTGAGCTATGGTGACACGCTTGCTGTTCTCCAAAACCGTCTCCTCCTTTGACCAGAGTATCTCTGGTTCAGGTCGAGCCTTGATGTAGCCGATGATGTTGATGTTGTGTCCGACGCGCACAGTGAGCCGCTCACGGCATGTTGCCTCCATCTCGATCTCTGGAGGGATTAGGATGTCCTGAGCTGTGATGGACCCTGGAATTTCCCTGCATTCTCCATCTCCAATCATGTTTGAGGCATAGACTCTGAACTTGTAGGTCACACCTTCCTCCAGACCCTTCACTGTGTATGCACACTGCTTGATGAAATCGTCCAAGTTCACCTTTTTCCACTCCTCTGTGTCAGCTTTCTGCATTTCCACTGTGTAACCCAGGATGGGGCTACCCCCGTCTTTGGAAGGTTTCATCCAGACCAGTTCGGCTGTGGTCTTGCTGTAATCTTTGACTTTGGGGTTGATAGGGTGACTTGGGACTGTGATGGGTCTGCAGGGCTTGCAGGGGTCAGAGATGGGAGAGGGGCCACTGAAGCCAGCGACATTCTCAGCAAAGAGCCTGAACTCGTATTCACTTCCCTCAAACAGACCCAGGACTCTGTAGCGCAAATCCTTGCATGGTGTCTTGTTGACTCGAATCCACTTCCCTCCCTTGTGCCTGCGCTCAATGAGGTAGCCTGTGATCGGGCTGCCACCATCAGCAAGAGGCATGGTCCAGCCGACGGTCACGGCATCCTCTGCCAGGTCGTAGTGCTGAGGCTTACCGGGGGGACTGGGCGGCATGAAGGTGTGCTCCGCAACAGTGGGCTTGCTCTCCAGTGGAGCTCCAGCGCCCATCTTGTTCTCAGCGCGAATGCGAACCACGTACTCCGCTCCCTTCTGCAGGCGGGTGATCCGCAGCTGAGTCTCAAGGCTACCAGAGCTAACCCCTCCCCAGGTCTCTTTGTTGGACTCTCTTTTCTCAACAATGTAGCTGGTGACAGGGCTCCCACCATCATCCTTAGGAGGGCGCCACTCAATGGTCATGGAGTCTGGAGAAACCTCCAGGATGTTGACAGGTCCGATGGGAGCTGCAGGAACATCCAGAACTTGGACATTCAGGGCCACGGTCTTGGTGCCTGCGGCGTTGGCCACAGTGAGCAGGTAGATGCCGGTATGGTTCCTGGTACATTCGTTAATGCTGAGCACAGTGGAGAAGTTATCGGTGTCGATCTTGATGTTGCCCTCGCTGGTGATCTCCTCTCCCTCGACGCACCACTTTGCCGTGGGGACAGGGATCCCTCTCATTATAGCCGGCAGCCTGATGGTGGTGCCAGCCTTCACAATGATGCCTTCAATGAGTTTAACATCCACCTCGACAATTGGAGGCACTGCAAGCAAACAGAAAAAGAGATAATGTTGGAGAAATGTAGATCAAATCCCCAAAACCTGATGGATGGACTCTGAAAGAGTTTGAAATCAAACAGACCCGAAAACTAACACCAAATGTCCCTCCACAAACACTGACTACTGGGTAACCTGGAACAGGATCAACAAGGTTGTCCCTTCTAGATCCCATAGACAGAGGCAACAAGCGTGTGGTCCTACCTAGTTTCTCCTGGCAGAGGATGGGCACTGTGGTGTCAGGTCTGCTGAGGCCAATGGCGTTCTCAGCCCTAACTCTGAAGCGGTAGGTCTTTCCCTCCTCCAGGCCCGTCACATGACTCTCAGGGATGCTTACAGTCTTCCATTCATCCCATTCCCTCTCCCCTTCTTCCTGATATTCCACCAGGAATCCGGTGATATCACTTCCTCCATTGCGATCCGGCCAGTTCCAGACCAACCACACCTCAGTTTTGTCCACGTCGACGTGGTGCAGATCTTTGGGAGGACCAGGAGGGACTGGAGGGATGGAAAGTGACACAGCATTAGTAACACATAACCGCAGAATGCTATCAGCATCCCATCGGCTGGAGGATTGTCCGGTGCTTCACTCACAGAGGGGATTCATAGCCTTGATGGCCTTTGGCGTCTCCACGTATTCGCTGCGGCCGTACTGGTTTTCAGCAGCCACTCTGAAGGCGTAGGACGTGCCCTCCATCAGGTGCTTCAGCATCATGCTGCGCTTCTTGGACGTGGAGCAGACCGGGACCCACTGAGTGGACGCCAGGTCTTTCTTCTCCACCACAAAGTTGGTGATGCGAGCGCCGCCGTTGTCTTCTGGGTCTTTCCAGGACAGGTAGGCGGAGTCACTCCTGACGTCAGACACCCGGAGGTGCTGAATGGGGCCGGGTTTGTCTGTGGGCCACAGAGGGGGCGTTATCTCCAGCGATTTTAAAGATTGTATTTTTCAGTTTTATCATTTCTGTCCTATATTTTTATTTCTACATTTTATTTCTTGCTTCTCATAGAAGTGTTGTGTTGTGCACCAAACACAAAGGCAAATTCCTTGTAAGTGTAAAAACCTACTTGGCAATAAACTTTATTCTGATTCTGATTCTGATCACTGTCCATGTGCTCAGTCCACCACGTCCAAGGGCATGCCGCACTTACCCAGAACCAGAACCGTGCAGGTGACGGTCTTGGATCCGGCCGGGTTCTCCACAGTGAGGGTGTAGTCTCCACAGTCGTCGCGGTTACAGAACCTCATCTCCAGCTTGGTGCCTGCCTGGTTGGTCTCGATGTCGGCCCTGGTGGGAACATCTTCCTCGTTCTTCTTCCAGGTGACGGTGGGGAACGGGACGCCCTTGATGGCCGCCATCAGAGAGATGTGAGTGCCAGCCATGGCCTTCACCTCCCGGGTCATTCCGGCGTCCAGGATCAGTTCTGGAGCCTCTGTCATGGCAGAATCAGCAGGTTAATAGGAGAACGACGCTGTTAAGGTCAGAAACTGTTGCGAAACCGAAACAGCGTCTCACCGAGTCTGTCCTGCACTCTGATCGGCTCTTTCAAATTGGTGGGGTCAGACTCCCCGGCGGCGTTGACGGCCATCACTCTGAAACGGTACAGGGCGCCGTCCTCCAGGTTGATCACCTTGAACTTGGTCTCCTGGCAGGAATCGGGTGTCTGGTTCACCTACAGGAGCAGGAAGAGACTTCAGCGTCCGGCCTCACTCAGGGAGTGAGAAACATCAGGGGATCGGCGGACTCACCTGCTGCCACTCCTCATCTCCAGCCTTCTGGAACTCCAGCAGGTACCCAAAGATCTTCCCCCTGCCGGTGTCGGTGGGCGGTTCCCAGGACAGAGTCACGGACTCCTTGGTGAAGTCGATGGCCCGCAGGTTCACTGGGGGGCTGGGTTTCACTGTGGGGGAGCACGGCGGGTTTTGTGGTGGGTTTGAACAGCGCAAGCAAAACGAGAGGAGGTGCGCTTAGAGGGAAACTTACCGATTGGATCTTTGGCGAAGACGGGTTTGGATGGCGGGCTCGGGTCTCCAGCGCCCACCACGTTCTCAGCGCTGACTCTGAACTCATATTCACAGCCTGTCAGCAGCTCTGTCACGTTGTACTCCACCTTTGGAAAGATTCTCTCTGTGTTGCAGCGAACCCATCTGCAGCAGAAACACACAATCAGATCATCTTCAGAGCCTGAGTGCTTTCATCGTTTAGGGCAGGGGTGCTCACACTTTTTCAGCATGGGAGAATTATATTTATTGAGAAATATATTGAGAATTCTTGCAACCCACTCCGTATGAAAGTGATAAGTTTTTTTCTTCTTACTTGGTCCAGCTCCCCCACTCATTTTCATAACCTATCTTACGTTTAAGAGGAAAAAAACGAACGAAAAATTAGGATATAACTAATGACTAGCTTGTTAGCTTAGCTGCTCTGGGGCTTTGTTTGAGCACGCACAGTGACCTGATTGTACGGGAAAAAATCAGATGCCATCTGACTGGTTGTCCTGTGTATTAATCCAGTGACGGGACGGCTGATAGGCTGACGTCTAGTTTTTATTCAAAACAACTCAACTTTATTTGTATAGCGTCAGTTCATGACAATTTCGCCTCACCTTCTCACGTGATCTACCGATAGCACCTTGGAGATCAACTGGTAGATCGCGATCAACATATTGAGCACCCCTGGTTTAGGGTTTAAGCTCATTTTAAGGCCAGAGGTTTGGTGGGATGAGACCGCACTGATTCAGGGGTGGGGTTACCTGTTGGCCTTAGTCTCCTTCCTCTCCACTATGTAGCCCGTGATTGGTTTTCCTCCATCAGCAGGAGGCTCCCAGCTAATCAGGGCAGAGTCGTGGTAAACCTCCTTCACGGTGGGCTGCTTGGGGGCATCGGGCACCTCTGTGATGGAGAGCAGAGAAGAGGGTCAGACGCTGCTCAGCATGGACACAAAGACTCTCTGTTCTCTGTGAGGACGTACTGAAGACGTCTCTGGCTTTGGCCTCTGCAGACAGCAGGGGGTCGCTGATGCCGTAGATGTTCTGAGCCATGATCCTGATGATGTAGTCGCGGCCCTCGATCAGCTTTGGAACCTGAAGCAGCAGGAAGAAGGTGTTAGGATGTAAAGAGGTGTGTTTACTGGTTCTGGAGGCCTAGTCCCCAAAATGGGGACGATGTCTGAAAGCATGAGGGTGATGGGGAACACCTTGGAGAAGTTGGTGGTTCGGATGGATGGAAATGAACTAACAATTCGGCTGAATTGGATCGCCATTGAGAGACCTGCTGAGGACTTAAGGCAGACAAAACACGCTCTGTCTGGAACAAAGCTATCTCTCTTATCTCAATCTGGCCTCCCCAAGAGCGGCCTGAAGCTGCTACTCTGCAAACTTGCCCTGGATGAAACTGCAGACGGACGCTTTGCCC